TTTTTTTTTACCTCATTCAAGTCTTCAACAATTCTCAGCAATGATTTGATTGATCTAACAATATTGTCCACTAGTTAAAGGTTTGGTAATTGTAACCAAGTATACCGTACATTTTTCCCAACTAAAAGGCTCAAGTAAATTACAGTCTTTCACCAACTAAATATTTATTTCAACATGTTTAGCTGAGAGCGAGGGAGAGATCTGGTTTAGAGTTGTGATCGAGTAAGAAGAGTATAGGAGATAGGGATAATCTTTGGTGCGAGTGTTTATATATCTAGCTCAATGAGCCCATATGGCTTATAGGTGCATATCAAGGCAACCACGCACTCCATATGCCAGATATCCAATAGAGAGAGAGAGAGAGAGAGTGAGATATGCGGGCAGGCTGATGAAGCGGAAGCGCAAGATGTGACCCTTTTACCATGTATCAATTAGGGGACTCCATTGGAGGAGTCATGCTCTAGCTGCCGTAGGCTGCTGTGCAATGAGCTGGGATTTATTCGGGGATGCATTCATGCAGAGCCCCAGTGTGGTGTGTAAGCCGTAGCTTACTACCATGCCAAAAATTACTCCGGGGTTGGAGTGGGAGCGATGCTTAAAGCACCGTGTGATAGCCAAGCTGGGTTAGTGTTGACCAAGGTTCATAGAATACAAGGATGCGACATGGTGTTGTCAAAAATTTGTTTTCCTCCAATGACGTAGTTGCGAAGTGAGTTCTGATTGGCTGAAATATTTTACGAAGAAGAAGAGTACACAAAACGCAGAAAATATAGTTGTCGTATGGCATATTTTAGGAATAAATATTAAATGGGCATTTTTGATATAAAATATTTAAAAGCTTATTACCACCATATGTATGTATATTATTTACATTAATAAGTCTTTATACATACATGTATGTATTGTTTATGCTTAATATTAGATTCAATTACAATAAGAAAATAAATACCTACTTTAATAATATCAGCAATCATGGACTAAATTTTTATTTGTTTTTTTTTT